CATGTTGAGTTCGATTTCCGGGCTCTGAGAAACTGGGCGCGAGCACTGAGGAATGGTCGAATGGAACGGAATTTTCCGGTTATTCCGATTTTCCGGAATTTTAGGCCAACCTCGCGAGGTGCACCCAAAATTTCGGAATGAAATTCCGGAAAATAGCTGTTCTATTCGCTTCCAAACCCGGAATTTCCGGAATTTTTGGTCGAATGGAAAGCGCCCCAGAACACCAACGCTAAAGCCTTACGCATAATAGGCGACGAAATGTCCTACGCTCAAGTAATGATACCACCATAGTCATGAAATGCCTTAGGTGTAGAAACAATGATGTTCTTGACATTCAACAGGACATTAACTCTGCCTCTTTGCCATTTCTCGAGATTACCTCTCCCCCTACTAGTATAGACCATCTTGCTAGCTCTGATGTTGATCTTCACTTACCCTATGATATCAGTGTTCAGTACTATTAATTCTCATGAATTTCATGATAATCATTATATAAATGAATATTTTTCTGACAAATGCGTTTCTGCTTTGCACTGCAATATTAGGAGCCTGCCAGCTAACTTTGATAATTTGCAACATATGCTGTCTGGGTTATATTTGCCTTTCTCAATATTGGGTCTCACTGAGATTAAGCTTAAAGCTGGCCAAAGTTTTTTACCCAATATCGAAATGCCAGGTTATTCATTTACTTTTCAACCCAGGAATCAGTAAAAAGCGATCTTGTCAAAGATTATTAGTTACTTGTATTCTTATTAGCAGTTGTGTTGTTTCCCAAATTACCTGTAAATTAGTCTTTGTTAAATTATGTCACCTTGTCAAGTTCTTCTTATATTAATGTTTTGTATTCATTGCAGTATAAATTTAACTATTTTAGACTTCCTTCACAGCGTAGAAATAGCGTTTTTCCTCTTCTCACTTTTTTTTCTATTTCTTTTTATGTGTGAACTTGTTGTTTCAGTTTTCTTGCTGACCTGTAATTTAATTTTATTTAATGCTGATGTCAAGTGGCTACCTGGCTAAGCTAGCCCACGTGGTTATTTCAGGCAGCTAGTACTCTAATTTTTACTTTTAATATCTTCAATGTTGTAATTTATTTTTGAGCAAGAGTGAATACAAATAAAGATTGTTGTTGTTGTTGTTGTTGTGTGCTGATAACCAGTGTCCGTAAAGTGAGGTTTTCTATATATGATGGTATGTGAAACGAGACATAGAAAAGAGTCTGTTGTCCGTATTAACAGGTGTCCGTATTAAGTGAGTTTATTCTCGGCTAGCGAAGCAAGTTTTTATATCTTCACGAGCGCGGAGCGCGTGTACCGCGCGTGGTCTTCGCCAGCGGCAAAAATTGGATTTCCCATAAATATTTCTATGAATATCTGCTTGGTGTCCGCCAATGACATGTAGCGTTACGTCATAGAGCATTTTTTGTTTCCAGGCAAGATAGACTTTGCCGCCGATGACCAGAGCGCACTTTCATGTTGCATTCATGAAGGGCTGGTGTGATTTTTCATCGTATGTGAAACAATGTTTATGATCCGTGAATCACGGGCAATTTCCCTTGCAAATGACACAGAACAGCAACCACAAGAAGTGGCTGGAAATCCTCGCCGGCGAAGATTTTCCACCGAAACTCTGGAGAACGCCGACTATAGCTCATCGACAGCGGATCGAAGGAAACAACCGAGAAGCAGAGAGAACATCGCTTAGCACAGCGAAGGCAACATCTTCATCACAGCGACCACAAACATGTACAGAGGCAGCAACAAATACTACAATTACACTGCAAGCGAAACCGATGAAGAGAGGGAACGCCGGCCGACTTCCGACGCTTCAAAAAGCGACGAGGAGATGAGGGAAACGCTTGAAGTTTACAGTCAAAATTATCTTCTTCGATGCAGCGATAGGCAGCAAGAGTTACACGATCTGTACAATGCACGTCAAGAATATCTTTCCAATGGACTCGATCAGCCTTTAAACCATGAGCAACGATGGGTTTTACTGTAAGCTTTACTTTGCAATGAACAGTTTAGAACACCGATTATGTGTGACATGCTGTAGGGAAGCGTTACATTTGTAAACAAAATCCTCACTAAAAAACATTTTCGTTTACAATTTCCTTTACATTTACTTCCCCAAAACCATACCAAGTAAAATATATATCTATATATAGCAGCCCGCCTTATACATACACACAGCTGTTTTAATTTGTTGTTGTTGTTGTTGTGTTTTCTTTCTTTTTTTCTTTCTTTCTCTTTCGTTCTTTCTCTCTCTCTTTCTCCCTTTCTTTCCTTTCTTTCTTTCTTTCTTTCTTTCTTTTTTTCAAGTCAACCATAACTAAATTAATTATTGCTGGCCTCCTATTTTGACCCTATTTAATTAATATTCGAAAAGAACATCTGTATTTCGGATCTCCTCACAATAGTAGTGTGTGGCATGTGTTACAATGCCAGGAAAATTAATTCTTTTCCCCGTAAGGAACAATTTAACAAGTCAGGGAATTTCAGTACAAGTCAGGGAAAGTTAAACTCTTTCAAAGAAGTCAAAGGGAGGTCACATTTTTCTGCATATTCACCGAAGTTAAGGCATGTTCCATTGGCAGAATAGTGTTTCAAGAAATTAAACTACAAGCAGATATAGGATTTTCTTTAAGATCAAAATCCATTCTGCATTTTACATTCACGATCAATGCATGTAATAAATAAGTGAAGAGGATGGCTGTGATGGGAGGTTGGGCATTTTTGTGTACCGGACACAGATGGCAAAAACCAAAAGAGAAAAAACCACGAAACAATACAAAGCAGATTTAGATTTTCCATGAACAGGAAACAAAGAAGTCTTTCGTTTTATTTCATCTGTTTCCAGTGCACGAAGTTTTGACTCGAATTTGGAAGCCATTAATATCTGGACAAATTGTCAATTCACTTGGTCAAGGAAAGTGTACATTTGACTGTCAGTCTGGGAATTTAAACTATGCCTCTGGCAAACATGTTTTAACAAGCTCATGCATGTCGAGAATTGAGAAACTGATCAGCTTCAACATGAATTGAATGTGGAAATTTCATACAAATTCATTCTTGCATGGGTATTTGTCTCTCATGCACAAATAACTATGAACACTTTCATAAACCAGGATATGGTACTTTTTACAGGGATAATTCAGTGCTAATAAGGGTAGTGCATATTCATTAATCATGAGTCGTGACCACTTTCAAAATTCTCCTCAACTGAATCCTTAATGATTTTGCAGCATGCAATTTCTATTTTAGTGTAAGTGATTGTCTGCACCTTCCTGGTACAAACAATAAGTTTTCAAGTGTGATTATGTACTACAACAAGTGCAAATTACCATCATTTACTTGTTATTTTCACTCACTACTAATCAGGATATTAATGACACACTTCACAGGTAATTTTTTTTTACATTTATTATTTAAGATCGCACAGGTTAGCTGCATATTTGCCTGCAGTTATTCACTACCACACTCATTTCCTTTGACTATGGTCACACCTTTAGGAGGGTCGAATGGAGGTGAATACGGAGCCACACTAGCCCCATTTAAATCCCAGAAAATCATTTTTAATGACACAGCACTGGGTTCCAATTTAATGCAACCAAAAGGCGATTAACTACATCTCACCTTCAACTATCAGAGCCAGTGTTGAAACTCACCCTCCCAAGGTAAACAATTTACTCCAGTTCGCCCCACTTCCATCCTTGACATTTTATGGGCCTCCCCGCTGCACTTCATTCTTATAATTTGGGATCTGTAAATCACTATCCGTGATAATATAACATTCTGCAAAGAAAACTACCGAGCTGGGCCCAGCGTGATACAGCATTGCAGAAAAACATTACACTCACGGACTAAAGAAACTCGCTTAGTTATTCAGATCCAGAAAATTGGAACCCTTATTCAGCCGTAATAAAAAAGCTTTACGCTTCAAAAAGAGGTCAAAGAAAATGCGCTTGCAACAGAGGGCAAATCCTGCCGACCAGAAACAATAACTACAGAAATTCGATATGTCATGACCTCTCAGTGTGAAACATGCGGCTAAAATCACATTTGCTCAGCGTAAATGTGGAACCTTCCAGAGCATAATCTACCCAGCAGATAAAAACATCTTTATTGGAATAAGCAGCATTTTGGCATGAGGTAAAAGTCGTGTAGACCTACCACCTCCTTTTATTGCTATAAAGAATTTAAACAGTTATCTGTATATGCTAATCAATGGAAGGCATACTCATTGCCTGCATGTTCCGTTTTTGTTTCATCGACAGATCTATGGACAACAATCATCATCGACATCATCTCCTCGTGACAAGAGGAAAAAAGCAGAATGAACTTCGAAAAAGCAAACTTCTGTAGACGATGTTAAAAATAAAACCTTTATCCTTAAAAGAATAACCATTGTCTTCCATCACTGTGTCTCTTTAATTTGAAAATTTCAGTAGAAACAAATTACGTATGAATTTGCTGATTTGTTTGAAATACACGAAGCTTTCCGCAGAGGTCTTATTTGGAAAAATGCGTCTCAAATACAATTTCACCAGTTTTACAAACTACTGCGAGATGTCTGTTATAAAAAAATGCCATGTACATAAATTGCTGTCTCGGCAGTAGTCCTATCTATTTCTGAAAACATCTCGACCTCGTTCGCCATATTGAATTCAAGAACGCTTCCCCCAAATTAGGTCACGTGAACGGAAATTTGAACAGCGATTAGCTCGTGGTTTGTTTTGGTCGAGGTTATCAAGTTTGATAACGATCCCGGACTTTATATTAATTGCTTTTGTACTTTTCACTTACGTTCACAATCTCCCTTGACACCTGAGCCGTACATCCCTTTAGGGCATGCGCATTTGTAGTCTCCGTACACTAGACCGCATGAACAAGCTGCTACTATGTCGCAATTGTTGTTGCATTTTTCAGCATCCACTTCTCTTATCTCCCATACCTGCTCGTAAGGATCTGTGTTGAAAATAACAAATAATAATGTGTTATAAAATGGTAACGAATCTCTCAGTCAGTTAGTTATTTCAGCCGCCTACCCCACAAGCAACTCGATACATTTTTATATTGGCTTTTGCGTTAAGTGGTGCAGCCTTTGTCGTCGTAAGGGTTTCTAAAATGTGAGTTGTTACAAAGAAATACTGTACTATCAAAACTAATCAGAAGTCGCTTATGTTTCAGACTTGTCGGACTAATCGACACCAACCACGACTTGGTTAGCAAACAGTTCGTGCCTCGTGGTCACTAGAGTACAACGAATCGAGGCTTCTAGTGTCGGGCTTACTCCACGCTAAACCTACACAAGCTTGATCATTCTTTTCGTTTTTGTTTTTGTTTTTTTGCAATCGTTTGAGAAACCAAGAATGTTTTTGAGAGTGAATTTCGACGGCACAAATGTTTGAGAAAGGGAGGTGACAATTTGGACAAATTTGGACAATCAGTTTCAAACCATATATTTAACAATACAATCGATGAAAGCCATATCCTTAAAGCGCGACGAACGGTGTTTTGGCATTTCACCGAGAAATCACCCTTGAATTTATGTTACAGCAGGAATTTTTTTTTAAGGATTTTTTTTGTGTTACGGCAATCACCGAATAATAGATTGCCTTTATATAAAAAAAATTATATTTAAAAAATGATTAGGAATTAACGAACGTAATTTAAAAAGGCGTGGTGCAAAGTGTAGAGTTGAGCGCTAAAAGTTAATGAAACTTTTACATTTTTGCGCGCTATAAGCCCCGCTGGACAAATTTTTGTCTCGTGGGCTCATTAGGAACGAGCCAATGAGAAGCGTATGATATTTGACACTTTTTAGCTGTGACGTAAGAAAAGGACACCATTACAAAGCACGAAGCATTGAAAGAAGGAATCTTATGCATGCTGATTCCTTTCTCTTTATTTCGAGAGCTGCTGCATCCAAAAACCACACATTTTTCAACCATTTTCTCCGTTTAACAATAACACATTACCGCGAATCTTCGCATATTTTTGCACGATGTCCTTTTCTTACGTCACGCTCCATATTTGGACACATTTGGCCGAGTGGGGGACTAATGCGAACGATAGTTTCGAAAATGAGCTCTTGAAAGATATGGAAATCTACCAAAAGAAAACAAATTGAATAACACTCATAACACTCGCATAACACTCTTATGAATGTCGGCATAACACTCTTATGAATAACACTCTTATGAATGTCGGTCGAAGGAGGCGGGCTAAGTGTTTCTAAAGATTTCTGAGTTGAAAGCAAGGCCACGACGTTTCCATTGTCCACTTGTTTAACTCGACTTAACGCAGTGTTCTCCTTAGCAGGAGGTAACCGGTAGAATTTAATGTCTGGAGAAACACTTCTTACCGCCTACAACTGCTTGAAGGTTTACTAAAATAAAATAAGTCGTTTTAAAAAAGTTGCGATCCGATCCGATCCGATCAAGATAATGAATGAATATATGGAAGTGTACTCGAGTATACACAGCTTTTCTTTTTACGGGCCACCCATTTAGGAAAGAGAGCATTGGCGACAGAGTAAAATTATTGGAATCAAATGTTTTCAACTGTTGTGTAAAGAGAACAACGGCTTATTTGTGTAAAATAGGTCTTAAAATGAGGGAATGACGTTTCAGAGAACTTAGCTCCTAAATTTCACAGCGAGATTGTAGCCATGTTCCACTACGCCCCTCTGGCACATTTTTTTTTTTTTTTGCCTTACCGGCCATGAATGGTCCCTTACTGCCGAGCTAAAATTTAGGGAGAACACTGTTTAAGCTTGACCTAAAACTAACTTACCCCCTCTTAAATACGTTGCAAGTTCAGAAAACTGGTCGAAGTCTTTCAGGTGGAAAGCTTGCTTGTCTGGGTCTTTCACAAGCTGTTTAAGCTGATTATAATCAATGTTTCCTACACCAATGGCAAAAACCTCTACGAAAGCGGTCTGTAACTGAGCGGCAAGTGAAACAGGACTAGGATTCTGCCAAGGCCAATTCCAACGTCCATCGGTAAGAAGAATGACGGTAGTTTTAACTTGTTTAAGTGGTGTTCTCTTTTGAGTGCTGGAATTTCCGAGGCAAACACTGAATGCAAGTTCGAACGCAGCCTTCATGTTGGTTGCAGCACCGTTACCTCTAGGCATCGGGTTGAATTTTTCGTTGAAGGTGCATTTGTTTTTTCCCAAATCGGGTTTAGACACTTGATCTATGAAAATGCTCGCGGAAAATCCAAAGGGAATAACCTCAACTCGGGTAGCCTCCATACCAACGCTTATTACATTCAGCAAGTTGGTAATGAATTTCTTCTCTTCCGCGAAATCACTGTCGCTTAAACTATAAGAGGTATCGATAAGGAATAAAATATCGGACTTTGAGTGATTATAGGAATTGTGTTCGTTTCTGAGTTTCAGAAGTTGTGTCTCCGAGACTTTCAGCCAATCTTGACAAAGACCAGTCCAGGAATTCCCCAAAAGGAAAACTGAGATATAAAGAAAAGCGATCATTCTGTTTGTAAATGGCGGAGACTGCCACTAAAAGAAAATGTAAAGCATGGAAGACTTAAACTTTCTAAGGAGCGCCGTGTAAAATTTTAATTTTCGTGACAGTTTCCAAAGCTGAATAAATGTTTACAGGTCACTCAATGCAAAACCAGTTGTGAAATTGCAAATGATCGCACTCTGATGAGTGATATGTTTTAACACCTTATGAGTCACATATTGGAATGTAAATGCAAACCGCAGGATTTACACATAGATTTCACGTTCACTTACAAAGTGCACGCAATTTAAGTTAATTTGCCCACGTGTTTACAATTCAATTTTTGTTATCTGTTACCTTATTTCTTTTCGAATCTGCTCTTTTTTTGTTGAGACATTTTTCAGTAAAATAATGCATTTAATAATATGGAACTACTTTGACTAAAACGTTACACAGCTGAATACACAATATGGATCTACCATACAGCAAATTTCCCACGGATTCTATGAATTACAATATAGAGATTTAAAACCACTTTTTTGTACCAATAGACTAAGTATATTTTTCCCTTTACTTGTCGTGAACTGTTTCTAATACACACACAAAACGTCAGTAGCATGCACGAAGCTTGTAGTGTCCTCTAATTTTATAACCCTTCCAAACCAAATCAAGCCTGATATTGTTTTTTAGGGCTACGGGCCTTGTTTGGTTTACTCATCTATTGTTTTCGTCACCCAATAGAACAGCTCTTTCTGAGAGTTTTTCAAGGCCGCCACCAGAAAAAAAAGGGTCATATGAGGATAATGCTTAAGAATTCTTTTGCATGTATATCTTTTCTTCTTCATTGCCACATTTGAGAAATTGTGAACTCGATTCTGATTTGTCGTAAACGTGTTTTCTAATCTCGCTAATTTCTTAACACAATACCGTGTCATCGTCTACAGACATTTCTGAGCACAGTTGTTTGAAAGGGTTGATGGCGCTATCCAGTAGATAACGCAGTTGGTTTCCCTAATTCTTATCCGATGCATAGCGCTGTCCAGCGTCCGAACAACCGGGGCTCTGAACGCCGAGCAGTCCATCCCATATTTTATCAGACATCCATGAAAAGGCGACCGAAGGAGAATGTAGCCGAAGTACCCCGGCCTAATTGCTCACAATCATTAATATATAAATTTTATTAAGGCACTTAAATCAACGAGCTTGAAACCATTTCAAATAAAAATTCAATTCCATAAGATCTAAGCCTTCAATCAATGAAAACCTCACAACTGGATAATGGACAGCTTCAAGTAAAAACGTCTCCTCGAGGAGTTGTACACTTTAAACCGCGAAACGAAATGGCTGAAGTTTAGTGATTTAAACAGGGTTGACTCCAGTTCACTTCGCCCTTTGATAAGGATCCTTGATGGAACTTGATTCAGTCAGTTTCCTACCCCTAAGAACTAAATTCCAACCAAAAACACAGAAAAGCAAAATGATGGTACCTATGCCAGGAGGCTTCGCACAGCACTAAACGTTATTTGAAGGGACCACATAGCAAAGGAAAATTTGTACGGTCACCTTCAAAAGCTTTCCAGTAGATCAAGGAAAGAAGAATGAGAGCAGCTGGGCATTGTATATTAGACACAAGGAAGAGGAGGCATCGAAGCTTGTGTTGTGGCAGCCATAATACGGACAAACTAAGAGAGGAAGACCTAAGACATACTGCCGCGTTGTTTCCTAATTCCATGAACAGATTTAAACCTAATGCGTCGTTTTCTAGTTCCATTAACGGATGAAGGCGGAATCCACCAGGAAATTGTGTAATTTTAATTTTCGGTGGACAAAGCCTTGTACCAGAATAATTCGTTTTTACATTTTTCAAGGGCTATAGATATATAATCAGTTATCTGTAATAACACCAAAGACTATTTCTCACGGGAGCCCGAGAAAATAAATGTCAAGTTTTACAAGAATTGTGAAAACACAGGTAAAATTCTGAGAATTTCATGTGTAAGATATCATTATGTGTAATTTGACATTTATTTTCTTGGGCTCTCATAAGAAATTTTCTGTGGTGTTATTACAGATAACTAAGCACATCTATAACCCTAGAAAAATGTAAAAAAGAAAGCGATATTGTGTAAATTATTCTGGTACAAGGTTTTTGTCCACTGAAAATTAAAATTACTCAATTTCCTGATAGATTCCGTCTTAACCTTTTTCAGAAGGAGAAGAGCCTCAGGCAGGGAGGTTTCTACAGGCTTGAACCCTAATTTTCGATCGGCATGAACATGGCACGAACTACTGCACGTTACAACTTTGTATTCGTTCTAAGTCTGTTTGTAAAATTTGTTTTCTCTGAAATGGCCCACCCCTCCCCTAGAAGGTGAAATGATTGTCCCCATAGCCGCAGTTACATGACACGCAACGCCTTCGGGGTGATCCGTCAAACAGTCAATCACAGAGCATTACTGCTCTGTCTTTATTAAGAAAAAGCGGTATATCGTGTTTATAAAACAAAAAGTGTGGGTGGAAAGGCCTGTTAAAAAGAACAAAAATTGAGTTTGACAAGTACTGTACAGATTGATGAGCATGATGTCTATTGAACCCAGAATCAATTTTACATCAGTCGGATGTTCTAAGCACTGAGCTACTAAACATTCCAGTGAAGAGCTATGGTCACATTTAACGCTTATGGCGGAGCTCAATGCGCGAGCGGAGCCCGATAGTTAAAAAAATTTGGTTGTCTATCCATCAAAGAAGTTTTGGAAGTCATGTGACCGTCCGTATCCAACACTTTCCAGCAAGTGTGGGAACTTGCAACCTGATATTGCACAACCGTGTGGTGGTCAATTGACAGCTGTCTTAACAGGGTTTCCCCTGACCGGCATCCCATGACCTTATCGCGGGCTCAGGTGTCGACCCATGGAAGTTACGTGAGTGTTTGAAGTTATCCGCTGATACGTTTCTACAGTCGAGCTTCCACTACCGGCCACCTCTCCACAACGGCCACTTTTTTTGGCCCTGCGCACAGTCCATACATTGACTTTTGTTTTTCCAAAAACCTCTCTAAAACGGCAACGGTCACTTAAGGGCGTCCCCAACTGCCAAAATAGGGACCTTAAGCAACTACTATGACGACGACAACGACAACGTCAAAACACAATTGGCTTTATGACCAAAACAACAGCTCTGCACGTGCATCACGCTGTTTGGTACATTTCTTTGACGTCCACTGCACGACTTCAACGTCAAACCTCCCAAAGCGACGTTTTACAGAGGACGTGGACATACGACGAAAAATTTTCCTTTCTTTATTTGAACATGGATAAAGCCCTTAAGAATTAACTCCAGCAAAAGTAGCCTACAATTGACGAATTGAGCGGTTCCAATTCGACGCGATAAAGTTTGAAAAGACGCAAATTCATTTCTTCAGTGATGTTTTCACTGCCGTCGTTGTCGTAGTAGTTGCTTAAAGTCCCTACTAACGTCTCGACAACTGCCTGTTTTTTCAGTGACTGGTGAAAAACTCAAGAATGGTCATGAATTTTGATTCGCAAGGTGCGTTGATGATTAAACGTGGTATTCGTATTTTGATTGTGCTCTATATGTACTGCCGCAGTAAGCATAAATTGTCTACGATACTTCTCGCAAATGTTGTGAATTTTGCTCGTTTTGTCTCGTTAACATTTTGATTCGAAACACTGTTAAAGTTTTTTATATGAGTTTGATTATCATTATGCGATACAGTAAGCATGAATTTAGCACAATAAACACGTTGTACTACATCCCCACAACGGCCACCGTCCTCTGTCCCAAAGGTGGCCGTTGTGGACAGTTTGACTGTAGTTTTCAACTGATTGCAATTATAACTACAAGTGGATTTCTTTGCAGTGATCATTAGTTTATTGTTTGAATTACAAATTTATTAACAGGAGCTTCGCCTTTAGCCTTGGCTAAATATAACTGCATCCAGTAGTCACCAAGGAAACTCTCTGTATAGTAACGTAAAATATAATTATATGATTGAGGAGAAGAATCCACAAATTGCAAGTGATAGTAGGTTTTTTTGTCATTAAACTTAACTTCCGTGGGCACTAGGTAAATATCACCTAATAGCTACCACAGTTGTCCTGCGTAACAAATTAAGTATTTATGTACGTGAGTAAGACAAACTATATTTTGCCTCCACTAAAGAATCAAACACACAACACAGCTATGAGGCATGGGTGCGTTGGTCAGCCAGGCCCAAGATAAGCATTTATTTGACACATCAATAAAATACAGGAAACACAGGAATATATAAACCAATAGCTTACATGCGCATCAGCCGAACACGTAAACCCTAAAAAACCGCTATAGGAAGAAACAGGGACCGTGTACCCCCAAACAATATTATGGCGCAACCTTTGGGGTTTTAAGGTTTACATTATAACATAGGCAACAATACCAAGCTAAAATAGGCGAAAAACGATATTTCCACCAAAAAAACGGAAGTTAACAAGTAAATAAGAAAACAAATAAAACGAACTAAGCAATATGATGTGTCGCCGAGGGAGGCTGACTGTAGATTGTCACAAGTTTCTTAACTGACACTTTTCAAAAAGCATAACAATAAGACTTCAAGCACTACGCTCGCCATAGTTTTCCGTTACGTGACGGCAAAATATTGATAGTATGTTAATTAGGATCAACACAAATTACATTGGTCTCTAACCATGCAACCAAATTGTGTTAACGATGACGCGACGACGACGACAATGATGATGATGATGATATTAGGGAGCTGCAGCAACGACGGCGACGGCTACGAAAACGCCACTAAAAAAGGCAATTCGCTATGGTCACTTTTAAAACTGATACAACAACCGCATCTTACGGTCCTATTGTGCGAACACACGTATTTATAACTGCATCTCGTGCTCACCAAGAAAACTCCCTGTATATAAAGTTAAAATATACTGACTTATATGAATAAAGAGAAGAATTCAAAAATTGCCTTTGTACATTTTCTTTATAAGTATACTTTACTTTGGTGTTC